CATCACATTATAACGCCCCCACGGCTGAAAGGGCGAGCATGTTTGGTGGAAGGGGGATTCGAACCCGTGACCCTAAGACTGCGAGTCAAGCGCCCTAACCACCTGGCCATGCCGGGCCCAACTACCGGTGTGACATGTCCAGTTTGGAGAAAGTAGTATATATCATGATAACGGTATGGCACCAGGGTACTTGCTTACCTCTTGAACTGTAATCTAACAACATAATATATTATTTACAAATTTACTATTTACTTGTAAGTGATGGATTTCCTGAAGAGGGAGTGCTGTAGTTTGTGATTTCTTATGAGTTGAACTAACGTTTTTCGTGAGGTTATTTCATTAAAGAGGTTAAAAAGTAAGTTTTGGCTGTTCAATAATCTTTATCTATTTTTAACTTCTTATCTGTTGTGTTTTTTCTACGAATTTACATGCTTCATTTTTCAGGTGTCTTGCTTTATGTTTATTCTGTTTTTTCTTCTGAGAGATCGGGTTTCTCCGCTTTTTAATCTGAATAATTAGTTGATCAGTATAATTTTGTTTCTGGAAGTTTTACGTCAAGTGTAGCGATTTAAGAACAAAATTTAAACTAAGCTGTAACGTGGCGCCCTCTATAAGTATTCATCATTGTAGGCTAAAAGCAAGTAATTGGCTTTAGTACATGACATATTGTGTTGTTCTGCACAGTAGAAGTAGCCAGCATTATGATAGAATATGTAATGATTACTTAAAACTCCTCTCAATCGTTTCTTCTCTTGGAAAATTAGTGGTCTGTGACATTTCTGTTTATTCAATCCTATGTAATGTCGAATCTATTCTGTGCATGCGTACTTCGTAGTTCTTAAGATTAACGTCAGAGCCAACAGAAACAAACCCTATCTGGCAGACAATGTTAAAAGTGTAAAACGCCTGCTGATTGGTTGTTACACACTTGGCTAGTTCTGATAAAATACGCCTCGCGCCATGCTGCACGTGCTTGCAGTAAATAAAGTGGCGTGGAGTCGCAGACGGCCCTGAAAAATCAATCAGCATCCATTACAAGTGGTGAAAGGGCGGCCCAGCAAACAAGGTCGAGTTGGTCGATTAATTCACGGAACACGAGTCGTAGCGCGCTGTTGGCGAGGTTAACGTTTGTCGGTTCACCCCAAGAGCACGTGAAGGTTTTCGGTATGACAGACCTGACTGAAGCTCACCTGAAAAAAGAATAGCTCCTACTCGAGTCCTATGTGAACTCACCTGTACTCCCACCCATTTGGAAACATGATGGCAGAACTTGTGTGAAAACTTGTTGAGTGTACCTGAAGTTTGTTAAGTGCATTAATGATTATTAGTTTATTTACAAGGAATAAAAATGTCACTAGAAGTTGTGTAAAACGAAGGGCTTGAATTGGTGAAAAGCGAAGAGAGAGAGAAAATATACACTCTTCTCACATACAACAGCTAAGGTATACCTAAGATTAACATGTCAGGTTCCAAACCATGTTCTAGTACTAAGGATGAGCATGTCAAGCGACCCATGAACGCTTTCATGGTGTGGTCTCGCGCTCAACGGCGAAAGATCGCCTTAGAGAATCCGAAGATGCACAACTCAGAAATCAGCAAGCGTCTGGGCGCTCAGTGGAAAAATCTGTCTGAGGCTGAGAAACGGCCTTTTATTGAAGAAGCTAAGCGACTACGAGCGATGCACATGCGGGAACACCCGGACTATAAGTACAAACCTCGTCGAAAACCTAAAAGTCTGTCGAAAAGAGATCGCTTCCCTTTTCCATTACCCTACATCCCGGCTCCAATGGATTATCTTGGTGGCAGCTTTACCAGAGGTCTTCTGGGCCCTACTTCGACACTGCCGACACATGTTCCAGGGTTTTTTCCTTTCGTCACTCACGCCATGGACAATCCGGGGAACCTTGTCGGAGTTCCAGCTATGAGCTCTACCGGTGTTGGTGAACGGTGGTCGCCGGCGGACACAGCTGTTAAGACCAGACATGTCCTACCTGGGACCCCAAGCCCTGATTCCGCTTCTAGTCATTCCTTTAAGCCGGTAAGTCCTAGCGGTATTCCGACATCATCTCTTAGCTGTAACGGATATCCAACCGCAGCGGCGACACTGTATCCTAGCGTGCCACTGTCGGCCTACCTCATGCCATGTGGCTGCGGTCCATCTGGCTACAACTGTCCCTCAAGTTCAGAGTCAATAGACCTTTCACGACATACCTGCACTGCGGCTAACTCCTTGTTCATAAATCCCTACCTAAAGCCACCGGATGGAAGCCTTTTCTCTTCCTCAGCAGTAGGAGGCGAACCCTCTGGTCTGCGGGACCACAGCTTGGGACGCCCAACAGCGTCCACACTAACCAGTGGGTTATCGGCATCAAGTCAACTGTTAGGATTGTACTCATCGTACTTCAGCAGACCAAAAGTACCCGAAGCACGCCTAGAAGTGTAGGTCATAATGTACTGGAACACGTGAATAATAAAAGTCACAGCCCTAATGTAAGTAATATTTGTTAGTAAAGCAGGTGACGCAAGACTTACACCGTTATCCACCAACGAGTGCTGAAAATAATGTTCATCCTGCGAAATGAAAGATATAGAACAGAAAGTTTATCATTAAGTCACAGTGCCATGAAATACAGTTAATCATAGGACACAAGAACTTTCGGACCTAAGCTAATTAAATGAAAGCTTATGTTACAACTTTTTTCCTTTTAGTAAACCAAGAATTTTTTTGAGTGTTTCTGAGTTTTCTGTCAAGTGAGTGATATTTAACTACATTTCATGACGCGTTGTATGATATATATGCACATGCACGTTGTTTTAGTGTTAAACAATAGACGTATAAATGCTTGTGAAAGTGAAACGTTGGTCGATGCATTCTGCATGATTTAGACTAATAAAATGTTTCCCCATGTGTGATAAATTCCCTATTTACTTGAAAAAATGAAGCAAGACTAAACTAAAGATAATTTTTAAGAATATATTGAGCCAGAAAAACTGGGTCTTTGAAATGATCAAATTAGGTTAGATAGGTTTATTGAAATTCCTTATTTAAGACTGTAAAATAGTATATTAAACACTGTTGGTTGTGAGTCAAAAGGCTTTATAAATATGGAGTTGATCAATTGTCTTATAATATATTAAATATTTATATTGCTGTAAAATAATAAAACCATTTCTTTAATTATGTTCATCCTCACTAGTTTGCTGCTGTATAGACAACTTTAAGACATTTCACCTCAGCTGACAGTTTTCATCAGAAACAGCAGCAGCTTTTGTGTGACAATAATGAAGTACTTTTCTGTTTAACTCTCTATGCTTCTAAACGATCCGAGCGTGATCTTGTGGTTAGCATCCTTGGCTGTAAATCTACGGGTCCATCATTCGCGACCCGTTACTATGAAGAAAAACACACACACAAAAAACAAAAACAAAAAAACACGCATTGCACATGGGGCCGTGGGTGCGTTATAAGGATGACTGTCAACCCCCCCCCCCCCAAGTGGCACAACGGTATGTCTTCGGACTTAAAACGCTAGAAACTGATTTTTGATACCCGTGGTGGGCAGAGCACAGATAGCCCCATTGTGTAGCTTTGCGCTTAATTACAAACAAACAAACAAAACTATCGGTTCAAAATAATGAACGGCTAGCTCAGATAGCCCGTTATTAGCTTTGCGTGAACAACCGAAAACAAACAGTGTTTCTAAGCTGCTTAGGATTAGATTCTGAGAGAGAGTAAAAATTTAGCACATAAGCCTAATGAGAATGTGTTAATGGTAACTGTATATTTTAAGTACTTCGCTTTATTGCGGTCTTAAGAAACACGCGAGTTTTCAAGTATGAACTGCACGAGGTTTGTTTGTTATTTTCGAACTGATCTATATTATTGCTGGTGAAATATGCTGCAGTACAGAAGTTAGTTTTATAACTTACACGTGATACAACTTTCCATACCATTTCAAATTACAGATTACAAGCAAATCACCTTAGATACTTCATGAGAAGCAATAACCAAACAAAATATTTTGAACACCTTATTTTGAAAGACCGTTTACAATTTTTAAGTAAATCGGCTAAGCCAACCTCTCGGCTTCTCCCTCCCCCTTCATTACTCTTTTTTTTTATTGATATGCCATGGAGGTCGAGACCTTACGTGCAATGTTTCAAATCGTTTTGTCCAAAATTAGGGGAGGAGGGTGTTCAAAAATTAAGTAGACATAGAAACATAGATACAAGTGAAAGTAATAATATAGATATGGATAAACATTATTATTAAACTATTGTAACAATAACTAAAATATTTAAAATAAGGAACAAAACCAAAATCTTTCTTTTACTAAGATGAATAGAACCACGCGTTCCTTAATTACATGCACATAATATATGAATATCTTATTAGCCTTCCATGTAGATTATATAAGTTTCGTTACATTAGTGTACAAAGGGCACGTTAGAAACCTGAAAGAAAAATATCACAGAACAAATTAGCAACAGCACAATCTATAGTCTGATTTGTAAAATTCAATAACTTATAAACTGAAGAGGCATGATTTCAACAAACAAAAAAGTTTTTCTTTATTCTTTCATAAACAAAAACAGTATTTGTATATTGATGTCAGCATAACTGGAATTTATCTTGAACCTTACGTGAAAAACAGTTTCTAGTTAACGACCTAATTACTACTTTGTCTGTGTTTTTTATTTTGTATCTCCTTATTTATCTATTCGTTTATCTGTCCCTCTTCATTTATTTGTATACCTATCAGATTATATATCTAGCTGTCTAGGTTGTTTATATATCAAGCTATTTATACAGCTACCTGTCTCTCTTTTATTTGTTTACTTAGCTTTCTTCCTGTCGATCAGCTATCTCTTCAATCGGCCTATATGCTTAGGTATCAGTCCTCTTTATTTATCAGTCTACATGTATATATATCTAATCAAAAACACATAAAGTGTGAAAACAAAAGGTGCTGCCAAAAAAAAAAAAAAAAAATGAGCGCGCGACTTAAAGAATTGAAATCAAAATTGGCTGCCAAACTGGTAGCTACAATTATATAATTGATAACAATTTTACAGCAAATATTCATTCAAAATTCCCTTTTTCACACCTAAGGTGTTGTTGATTAGATATCATGACTTTTTGTCAGTACACACCAACAAACCACAGCACTCGATAGTTACCCAACCCGGCATGGCCAGGTGGTTAGGGAGTTCGACTCGCAATCTGCGGGTTGCGGGTTCGAATCCCCGTCACATCAAACATGCTCGCTCTTTTAGCAGTGGGGGCGTTATAATGTGACGGTCAATCCCACTATTCGTTCGTAAAAGAGTAGCCCAAGAGCTGGCGGTGGGTGGTGATGACTAGCTGCCTTCCCTCTAGTCTTACACTGCTAAATTAGGGACGGCTAGCGCAGATAGCCCTCGTGTAGCTTTGCGCGAAATTCAAAACAAACAAACAAACGATAGTTACTCACATTAGCTTTAGGATCACAACCCTATTATTCGGGACAGAGTTATACTTTATTGAACCAACCAGGTTCTTTAAAATATATGGTGGTAGTTTTTTCTCTAAAACAGTGTTAATAACTTCCTTTATAGTAACGCCATGGAATCTAAATTAACAGTCTCTTGTCATCACCCGCATGCATTCGGTAAAGCTGTATCAAGCATCATTATTTATGCTAATTGCTTAAGCTAATATTACGTGACGTTAAACGCTCTTTAATTAGGAGAATTTCATAAAAATTAGCAAATTTGTGCTGAAAAGTTGGTAATGGGTAATAACCGTTCACTCCTATGATTCTTTTGAAAACTTGAGCTAGAAGCTGGTAATTTAGTTTGCTTGGCCAAACCAATATTTATGCATCTGCCGTCCTTTCACCTTAAGTTTTGCTGCTCTAAATCAGCTGTATTTAATTCGAATGACAAAAAATTAAAACTTTTCACTTTTACTCATAGTTGAAGTTGTAGTAAAAAATTTACACCAATATCTCTCATGACTTTTTGCTTAGGCGTGCGCAAAAATTTTGGTCAATATTGAATGGTTTTTGTTGAATAACTTTGCACAAGTGGCTTATATTTAGACCAAATTTGACACCTAATTGTAGGCTGTAAAGATCTATTAGTGTACCAACCTTATAAAAGTTAAATATGTTTTTTTATCAAAGAAAATTTCTGACCTTTCGGTGCGAAAAAAAGGAATAAATTCAATAAAAATTGGAGATTTTATATCTCATGTATTTCTTAATGGATTGCTCTTGAAATTTGGCATGTGAAGTAAGGGCCCAGTAGAGCACATCCACGCAAAACATGTGGTAGTGTGGATTACCACTGTCCGAGCTACAGAAAGTGTAAAACTGCTAAACTATCACTCCTGTTAATAAAACACAGTGTGTCCTGCAGGGTGTTTTGGCCGCACGACACTATCGTGAGTTCTGACTTATATAAGACTCTACTCAACTGTCTGTTTTATTTATATATCATCAGACTTACCGATATCTATCAAATTATCTAATTAGTTGCCAATTTCTCTTTGTTTATCTATCTATCAGATTATCCACCTAGTTGCTAGTCTGTCAAATTATCTGTATAGCTGTCTGTTCCTTCATTTACTTATCAACTTCGTTATATATTTCTTTTTTTTTACACCAGCGTTTCTCAAACTGGGTCCGCAGAACCCCAGGGGTCTGCGAAGGTATTCCAGGGGGTCAGCAAGTCATGTTTGAAATTTCATAAAAATATGGAATAAAAAATATTTTCTGTAAAATTAAATATATATGAGTTAAACATTTAATTTTGGAATACAGCTTTTCATGTAGACAAAATCTTTTAGCCCCCCAGTGGCACAGCGGTATGTCTGCGGACTTACAATGCTAGAATCCGGGTTTCGATACCCGTGGTGGGCAGAGCACAGATAGCCCATTGTGTAGCTTTGTGCTTAATTACAAACAAACAAACAAAATATATTTTTTTTATAAAATAAACAAAAAACATCGATAGGTCTGGAGGTCCGCGAAACAATTTTAAATTAAAAGGGTCCTCGGGTTACTAAAGTGTGAGAACTGCTGATTTACAACATTCTCCACTCACTGTCTTTGTATTTGTCAGACACACTTGCCACATCTTTCTTTTAATCTACTGGTCTGTCTATTTTATACATTTATCTATCAAACTGTTTATCTCGCCAGAATGTCTTTCTCTTCTTCTATCTATCACTTTACCTATTTCTGTATATATATATATATGAATTTAAATATCATATACGATAAGTCTAACATTTTTTATGTATTATCTACCCTTTCTACAAGGCTGTCTATCTTCTCCTGTGTCGTTATTTACGTAATATATATTTATATTTAACCTTTTGTCTGTCTTATCTAGCTGTCAGACTAACTGTTTGTATATCATGTAAACTGTCAAAATTTCAATCTGTTGGATTGTCTGTTTCCCACAATCCCTGTCTATTTCTGACCAATTGTTGCAAGATCTTTTTATTTTTTGTTATTGTTAATTCAGGTTAGCGGTTCATTTCCGCTATTACAACATTATGTTAAAAATTTAATTCTGAATAATGTGCTTTGTGAATTTTCTGTTATACTCAATTAGGGTAGTTGTTTGTAATTTAGATTAAAACTAGAAATCTTCCTAGTGTTTGAAGCTCGTCTATAAAATTGTTTATTCTGAATAATTCAGAAAGAGTACATTCAACTTTACACAAACAATTAGAAATTGAAAAGAAATCTGTTTTTAAAGTATCAAATTAAAAATATCCTGAAGATTACGTAGATCACGTCGAAACATGTACGTGTAGATATTTTAAAGTGGAAGCAGTACGGCTTCAATAAACGTTTTTATTGTGTAAATATAAAACGTTGTTTTAATTAATTATTTATTATAATTTTAGCAACAAAAAATATCCTGTTTGAAATCAAATTTAACTGCTAATGCTACTGTAAAACACTCTGAATTAACTCTGCTTAGTCGAAATTTAGATAATTTTAAGAATGGAATTTAGTTGTCAATTTAAATGAACTGTTAAATAACAAAATGAAGAATTAATAACTTGTAAGTTTTGCTTCTAACATGAACTCAGTGTTACTGATGCACACGGGTGAACTTTGCAAACATATAGAGATTTTGTATGTTTTATTATTATTATTATTTTTCGTAAATGAAAACAAAAAACATATTAAGTGACCCTGCAAGAGTAAGAAGTAAAAATTTCTATAAATCATTTTCTACATACAAAATGCACATCGTTTATGAAAAAAAAAAAAGAGTAGAAAATAATTTATGATTTTTTTTTCTGACTTAAGAAAGCGTCTTAATAAATATAAAAAAGTCCTCGATAGAATATGTTTTCCATACGATTCTATGAACCCTAACTTAGTATTCTTTTCGTATTTCTAGGCAAACAGTTCGTTATCATTCGCCCCCCAGTTGCACA